ACTTGAAGCACTACCAAGCCAGATAGTTGGTCCCAGTCTGCTGCAGCAAGTCTTTGATGTTACCACCGTGTTGGCGGATGGCCTACCAGATGACCTGCGCCTCCACTGCGCCAAGTCCATTCTTCTTGTGCCTGGCATGATGCCAAACTTGCACTCGTCTTCGGACGCTCGCCTTTTCTACATCTTTAGCGTCCCGCAACTCACCGCGACAGACGGCCTGATGCTTGCCCATAGAGAAAAGACGACGATGCCCCATAGCACAGCAGCCAGGGGCATGGGTGCAATGTACGGCATTGGCCCGACGACCCAGGAGAGGCTCTCCCCGTTTGTTCTTCGGCGATGGGAATTACTGAGCGAGCCCACTCCTAACGTCGGCGTGAATGATACGAGCTTGAGTCTGGGCCTTTTTGAAGCCATTAGAATACACTAGTTTGTGTGTATTGGGGAGGGAGTATCGGCTTCTTGGCTTCCCTGCTGACCCTTTCCCCTCTCATTTTCTCTTATACTTCTTTATTATACTCAGGGTTATTTGGTTTTATTTCCTTTCAAGGTCTAGGTTGCTTGTCTTTCAGCATCATATTCATCTCATCATTACGAAGCACCATTCAGCGCGCATAATGGCTACGCTCATGATCAATTTTTTATCCGGCAGAGGAGAAACAAAAGTAAGAAGGCGAGCGGGAACTCCAGGCCCTTGCCTTAGGATGCATATCTCCCTCAAGGCAGTGCATTTTTCTTCTGCATTTAGTTTTTGCTTTCAACATTTTTCTTACTTTTGTTTGTCTTTCCTGTTTAAGGAAGACGTATCATACCAGATGTGGAGATGAATTCCCTAATTGCTATGGCTTATGCGTCGGTTGGTAGCGAAAAGGGGCATGAAAGGCTAACAGTGGAAATGGATGTCTGTTTTGGGATCATGTGCGGAGGAAGAGATACCTTGGAATGAGAGGAGTTGTGTCATCGACAGCATAGCAATCTCTTTCACCCCCCTTTTCTTTTTCTTTTTTGTTATTTTTTCCCTACTTCTTTCCGCTACACTTCATATTTTGTTTAAGGAGTAGAGAGGGATTCTTACCAACTTCTTTTTTTGTTGGAGCAGTCATAAAATTGTGATACAGGAGGAAAGGGGTTAAAGAAGGGTGTGATATATCCTGAAACTGACATTGATGTAGAAGGAGGCTCATTGCGAATCATTGTTTTTGTTTTTCTCAACCTGGGATTTGGAGTTTCTTGTGTACGGCATGGGTATGGTGAGGTTTTGAAGCGGGGTTTTGCTCTTTGCTGGTTGTTTTCTCTTATTGCTGTTTTCCTGTAGGATACCTTTGCTGAATTGAATGACCTGATTTATATATACACACATAACGCGATGAATAATTACGGCAGAGGAGAACGGAGACAAGACGAAAAAGGGGACAACATTCTATTATATACTTTGAAGTTATCCTAGCTTATTACAATCTAGTCATTCCATCCATCAAGCCCATTCACATCACTCCCAAGACAGAAAGGAAATAAAGACGCGCGTGGTCTTCTTAGCCAGCAAGCGACCGATCAGTACTTGAAGCTATGAACAATACAGAGGCATATTTAGAGCCCTTCCCAGCAAGAAAGGCGTTTCAACTAAATAGCAATAACAGATTTTGGGGTGGTGGATGGGAAGCAAAATGTAAAGGAAATTGATTGTATAAATCGACACGTTTGTGAAAAGTACAGAGGAAAAGCAGAAAGCAAACCGACTAATGATTGGAAAGGTGAGATGAGAGTAAGGGAAAAAACGAATAACAAGGGAACGAAAGAATGGAAACGCCATGCAATAGAGATAAGGTGGAGATAAACAGAGATAGGACACTAGATTTCTTCAGAAAGTGCATAGCAAACTAAATTAATCTTCATCGAAAATCTGGTATGTGTTGACCAAGATGGTATCGATGACTTTGATCTGCCAGCCAGCATCTGTAATAGCGGTGCTTGGGTCAGTGCCCATGAGGGTTGGGCCGAGGATGACGGCTAAGTTGTGGGAGTTCATGCGGTTGACGTGAGAATTGTCAATGACGCGGTGTAGATGAAGCATCAGAGCGCGCAGGGTAGCGTAGTTGGGGTCGGGCAGGCTGTTGATGATGGCGTGGAGCGAGTCTCGTCGAACAATCTCGTCTTCGTTTTCTGCGAGCACATGGTTAGTAAACGAGTCAAAACAGTCAAAAGAGCCTTGGTTTTGGGAGATGACATACTCGCTGCGTTGATAAAGCTGCTGTGGTGTTCTGTCGTGAACAAGGGGTCAGGCAGGTCACGGAAGAACTGTTTCAACAGGCCCGTAACGCTGTTGACATCGTGAAAGAAGTTCTCCGGATTTCTAAAATCAAGGGCCTGTGCCTGGGATTCTGTACAAGGGAGCATTAGTGAGTGGCTAAGTAGCCAAGGGGATGGACGTGGGACATACCAGAATCGAACATTGTTTTCAGTCTGTTAATGTGATTCAACGATCCAGATTGGCGGTAGATTCCCTCTACCCCGAGACCGAACAAGTCAACAGCCTGGATGCACTGATACACAACCATAGGGACAGCAAGGCCGTCCCTCTCATACAGGCGACCGAGATGAACGCCAAACACTGGCTTGGAGGCTGGGGGCCCATGGTTGGGGGCACTGTATGCCGGCGGAGCGCTTGGCCCAGGAGGCTGATACGGAAGTCCCAACTGAGGAGGTGAAGCGCTCTTGGCTGATGGGCCTTCGCTATCTTGGAACGGAAGCGCTCCGAGTTGAGGCGGGCCGGTGGCAGTTGGGCCGCCATTGGGGAATCGAGGAGCTCCTGGTGCTGGACCTGCACCGTACTGCTGAGATGGAGGGCTGACGGGAGAGTTTAGCATGTTACCCTGACTGAAGGTTCGACTGTGATTGGGCTGATGGAACGACTTCAGAGGCTCTGCACTGGTGGGAGTTGAAGCAGCCGCTGGTACAATGGTTCCTGGTCCTGGAGGTCCTTGGAGACCTGGACCGCCTGGTGGTGGGCTGCCAAAGCTATTGCTAGGGCCTGTCCTTGAGTTAACTGAAAAGGACTGTGGTGATTGCTGGTATCCGCCTTGAGGAGCAGCCTGGCTGACGGAAGGCTTAGAAGTGTGGGAGACAGAGGGCAATGATGAGTGACCCATGGTGCTGGGGGCTGGACCAAGGACCTAGAGGTAAACGAAGAAAGCATGTTAGTATTGGAGTGGCTAGAGATAGACTCAGATGGGACATTGAATACGCACCGGATTGCGTTCGTATTTGATCTCGCCGGGGTTTGGCTGAACCTTGGAGTGATACCCTGCGACGAACTCATCCAGGTCCTTGTCGATGCTGATGGATGCAATGGCATATCTCATGCTTCGGGGTTGGTTGGGGCCGATGGAAGCTGTGTTCCTAAAGGGACTGATGACAAGACCATTGCCTAGCAGCAGGTTCTCGTTGTTCAAAGCTATGGAAGAGTTTACCAATTAGCATTCAACTCGCAGTTGGTATTTTGGCAGCCAAATACTTACCGAATCTTTGCATTTGCATCCCAACGGCGGAATCTATCTCGCGGATAGCCTCTTGTAATGACTTGACGATCTCGGGACGGGTCGTGGTCTGAAGCTGGGCCTTTTCGGTCTGAAGACTGGTGACGGCGCTGTGGTATATCTGGTCTGCGGTCTGAACCTTCTTCAGGAGCTCCTCTTCTTGTTGAGCGGCTGACTTGTGCGCCTTGAATGCGCCCAAGACCTTGCCGCCGCCGGGCCTGCTCTCGCCCGTCCTGGCGCGATCATATTCTTCAGCTAGAGAGTCGTACTTTGCTTTGCTCTTGCGCATGGCGGCTTCGAGGTCGACGACTTTTTGCTCAGCGGCTAGGCCGTTGGCCTTCCAGACCTTGCGGTTACGCTCAGCGTTTCCGGCGGCCTCGAGGAGCTCTTCGTTCATTTGGAGAAGTGTGGCGGCAAACTGGATGCCATTATCAGCCATGCGCTCGTGAATATGGACCATTTCCTCGTAGACGTGAACGAATGTGCCTCCGCGGTGTTCGGGTCGCCGTATGTTATCCTGGGTGGCGCGCGCCAGCTTCTTGAGGGTCTGAGCACTGTCTTCTTCCAGGCCGGCTCGTTTTTTGAGAAAGGTACCGAATTCCTAATTTGACGTCAGCTTCGTCTTCGCTTCTCTTGTCTCAGCCCCATGGTGCTAGAGCTGCAGCTAGCACTGCATGTCCAGCCAGCCGCCCATGTACAAGGACCATGATTTAGATGCAAGATAAAGCAACTCACTTTTGCGGAAGCTATGCTCTGCTTCAAGCGCTGCAGCAGCGCGGGAATACCTTGCTGTTGAGGGGAGTTAGCATCGAGATGACGCGTGCGCATTTCACTGGCAAGATTCGTACCTCGGATGCCAGCACCTCGCCAACCAGCTTCAACACGGCTGGATCAGTCGGGGGCGGAGGGCTGGGCTGGTCCGCAGCAGTCCCCAGGTGAAGCGTCGCCATGCCCTCGCTGAGCTTTGGATCGGTTTCAGCGCCTTCTTGCACGGTAGTAGCATCGCCGGAAGCTGGTCGGCCCAGTGTGTGGTCGTCTAGTGTAATGGATCCTGAATAGTCTCGCCTGTGCTGCTGCGTCGTCATCTGCGGCATCTGAAGCGACAGTGACGGCACAGAGGTGTCAATGGGGGAGCGAAAGTCGGACATTGTGCGCGCGGATTCGCCTTCGAGGGGGCTCGACGCCTCGGATATGATTGGGAAGGGAGAGATTGGACAGTAGGCGATGACGAATCTCTGTGTTCGTATCGTCCGTTAATTCGCGAGGGAAAAAAAGAGATGCGCCGCCACGATTGGAGTTCGTGCTAGGATGTGGATACGGGTGAGTGAGATGCAGGAACAGCATGGAATGGAACGAACTATAACGGACCAACGAAGTGGCGGGAGAGGGAGGCAGGGGTGGAAGACTCACTGCAAAATCGTGAAATATGTCTTTTGAGAATCCCAACCCTTTTTGAAGACGAGGGCGGTGCTTTGCGACGTGATGAGCTTCGCAAGCCTCGGTTTGGAGCTTGATGTCTTTTCTCCTTCTTCTTCTAGCTTGTTGTGTGTCTAGGTATGAGCAGCAACGGAAGCGATGTCGATCAGTTCAGAGAGACCATTGAAAGGTGCCGTTCTCTCCGATGTCGTCACTAGCAAGAAAAAGAAGAAAATTTGGGAAAAGAGAAAACAAGAAAGGAAAAATCAGAGCAGGGTGAGGGGCCCAAGGTTCACAGAGCACAAGCCAATCGGCAAGCGATGCGGATTATAGAAGCCGGCTGGAGATGAGAAGAGATTTGGGGGCCGGGCTATTTCTTCGGACAGTTGCCAAGGACGGAATAAATACAGCACAGTACAATTCTTCCTGCAGGTCGAAGTGGGTGGCTGATGGAGGTATCAATGGGGGACGAGCTATAAGATGCGGATAACGTCGATGTGGATGAAGATGGGGATAGAGGATGGGGATGAAGAATGGAGATGGAGATGGGGGGGAAACTTAGTATGGGGGTTTGGTGGCATGTTTGGCTTTCAGTGGCTCTCTTTGGGGGGTTGGTGCTGCTGAGAGGCGATGCTGGCCCTTGAGCCGCTGCTGTTAGTACAGCCCAGTACATCCATGCTACTAAGCCAGGTACTTACAGGGCGCTGGCGTGGCACAAAGGCAACGCGCTGGAAATGGCAGTACCGGCGCATAGCGCTGAAATCGCTCGCTATGACCGGGGCGCCATACATCGCGTAGTGCATCAGTACCACCTTGGTACTGTACTCCTTCCTCGTGTGCAATTAGCATCAAGCCCTTTTCAACCAGCTGCACCTCGCCAAAAGCAGTTGACCATTGAGTGAGTCCTGGTTTCTCATGGATGAAACTCACGTCATTACGCACCGCCTTTTCCGCGTCCAAGGCCCACTTTCGATTTCTTTCTTTCGATTTCCGTCTTCTTCAATTATTGCTCCTTGTCTCTCAAGACATGCCGTGCAAAGCGAGACACGTTCGGTGAAGCTGTCCGGTGCATTGCTTGAAGCCTAGTGCCTCTCACATGTGCGTGGCTGCTGCGGGGAGCCCAGAAAGGCTGGAGACTGGGCAGAAGCTGTCCAAAGTTTCAGCGGCTCAACCTTAAAATAGGCGCGCTAGGGGACCTATTCAGGTGGTTTAGCTTATCCGTACACGTACGCTGTACTGTAGAAGCGGGTCACAAGGATTCAACAACGGAATAACCAGAATGAGACTATCCTGGCCACAAACAAACAAACAACTGTTGGAAAAAGAAAGAAAAACAAAGAAGCCTCGTGCTCCCCCGCAAACTAACCGCAGAGCATGGATCCAGGTCAAGATTTGCTACTAGAGCTGTCATTATCGATCACCATCTTCCCCTCTCCGGATGCATCTGTGCCGATCTCTCAGCAACGCCCAAGGAAGAAACGAAGGCGCCACCAAAGTCTCCAGTCTCCTTTTGCTTGCTCCGACATTATTGTGAAACATGCTCCTAATCTCTCACTGCATTAACAGATGATAAGCCATCTATAGAATTGATGCCCGATATACGAGGGATGCGATGCAACGCGACAACTACATGACTGAGAGATTGCTGGCTGTTGTTATACTCACCACTCTTGTTTGAACGTCGCCCACTATTACAGCATCGCTCGCGCTTGTGTCTCAGGCTTTTGTTCAGTATTACAGTTATGCTTACCCAACGAGAAAGACAATCGAGTGGCAAAGGCGGCATCCTACTGTGCGTATTGGCACGCTTAGGAGCGTATAACTCCTTCCTACATGTACCAGCGTAAGTCGTGGCGACACGTCAAGATACCGTAATGTAATACGATATCCAAAAGGAAGCCCATACGAGTTGTGTAATTATGCCACAACTCCTTAGCAGTTTTCAGCACAAAGAGGAGGACTTGTTGATTAGTATAATATATTCAGTCAGTCGTTGGTCGAGCCAGCAAGATCTGCACTTGGAAATTGGGGCAAGGGGCCATCCATGTCTGGACCAAAAAAAGAAGCTTTGTATCTTTTTTATGAGAATGAGCCTAGGTATTTCCGACTAGGTAGGATGAAGCCCTGCCGGTTGTCGCTACTTGACACCATCGTTTCATGCCGTCACAAGAGGCCGTAATGTCCAGTTGGAACACACCCAAAAGAAAATGACCCGTACCCGTTCACGCCATTGAGAACCTCTACCATCTGCTTTCTTTTCCTCCACTCTAACCGTCGAAATTTATCGCAGACGTCTGGCCTCACGTTCGGACTCGAGCAGGCAAAGGATGTCGTCCTCACGGACTGTGCAAACAAGTCAGCCAACAATGCCACCACAATTTAGCCATCGCATGATTTCAAACATACCGGGTCCCTTGACGTTTCGGATGATGGAACGGGTCTGGTCGTCCATGAACTCGACACGGACCTGGGTGACACCACCACGAGAGCCTGAGCGTTTCCGTTAGTATCTTGTGATTCGATTCCACAGATGCCCTAGCATGTCCTTCAGCCAATCTGCGTGCCAGCCTGCGATTTGTTGTATTGTCGACCATAAGTTTCCCTTCTCATGTTGTTTCCCCTTCAAAATTTGAAATTGGAAAAATTTTCCTCCATCTTCCCATGAGAACAATCGAGCGACAATGGCGACAACAACTGCAACGGCGGCGACGGCAGCGGACTGGCGAGAGGGAATGCTAGGGCGACAGAGCGAGGTCTCTTCATACCGGTACGGCCGAGAACTCGGGTCACCTTGACGAGCTTGACGGGGGCCTTGCTGGAGGATTCCATTGTGATTGATGTGTGTCCTTGATGGTGAAGGTGTGCAAGAGAGAGTCGAGAGGTTGCGAATCGCGGTAGTCCGTGTGGGTAGCAAAAGGGCGTATTTTTCCTTCGGCTGTAATTTTGTGCTATTCGGCAGGGTTTTTTTCCTCTTGCACGACCCAGTTCGGTGCGCCAAGCGCGTGGGGCTCGTGTCTGATAAGATCACGTGCGATAACCGAAGCCCCAAGACCCATCGCTTTGCCATTTCGTTAGGGGAATACCGGATTATCATGATTTGCCGCTTTCCGGATCTACGAGCCGCATCGCCTAGCGGCGGCTCCGACATTTCATCGGTGTGCCAGACCTTGCCAATTCGCGACCAGGGGTCATCAACATGGGCTATTCCGTCTTCTCCACTCTTTGTCAAGTAAGTGCGTCCTCGTACGTCTTCGGTGAAAGATACAAAAATACAGAGAGTTTCTCAAGTGAGACTGGGACTGAGACAGCGAATAGCTCGTACGATTGAAATTCTATCACATTCGTTGATGCCTGGAGAAAGCCATGTCCAGTCGGCCGCTCCTTCGCAAAGACGGCAAATCGCCGATGATGGAGATGGGTGTTTCTTGTCCGATGGAAGAGCTCATCCAACTTGGCAAGTCGCCGGCTACACAAGCTGGAGTTTGAGACAAATATCTTTCAAGAGGTCATGTTGCTGGACGCATGACTCCAACACGGGATGATTCCAACACAAGTTGTGTTATGTCGTACAGCTACGAGAAGACCAGATCTACAACGCATGGAGAGATTGCTCTGCTGCAAGTGAGAGCTGAAGCAGAAGGCTGCACAGATGGGCGTCCATGCTGCCGTCGGAATCAATATGCTTTGGTAAAAGCTGAGTTGTGGCAGAACCATCGATTCAGCTGACAGGGTTATTAGCGATGACCGCGTTCTTTTCTTTTCTTTTCTTTTTCTCCCCACCCTTTACGGTGCTTCACCCACCCACCATCACCTAGAAAACCGGGAAACATGCTCCGGACGACTGGAAACAAGGCACAGAAGCGACGCAAGTATAGGTACTTGAGGCCTCACGGCTCGTCTATGAGTTTGGTATAATTACTTTGAGACAAGATATGCGCCACTTGGACCAAGAGAAAGAGTGTCTTGTCTTTCAGTCTACCGACGTCTTTGCGTCCACGTGTGTGTATAGGCCTACACCCGCCTACTATTACAGTTCGGCCTTCGCCTTTATCTCCGACTGTCAAGAGAAGAAGGCGAGGGAAATAGTCGATTCTCGGGATCGTCCTCTTCCGAGACTTTATTTTCGTAGTGGCTGCTACGGGCGAAACAGAACAGAAAGCACATGGCTGTGCACAATCATGGCCACTCCTCTCTCTTCTTACCATTACAATAATGCTGGATCCTTGTCTATCACAGGTCCCCGGTGTCTCTGACCCCTGTTATACTCGTACGATGACGAATCGATCACTTTTTTTTTCTTGCGTCTCGGCCGATACGTCTAAGCGCCATCAGGCGCAAATGAGGGACACACCACTTCTACGTGTTTGAAACATATCACAGCCGTACCAGGTTTTCTATCTTTTGCCTAAAAGTGGCTTAAAAAAAGGAAAAGATGGCTAAAAAGAAAGAAAAGGAAGATAGAAAGAGAGATAAGGTTGTCTCAAAATTCGGTCAAATACAGATGACGTCTGTTCAAGAGCAAAGGTGACATCTAATGACAGCAGAATCCATCCTAGCAAGGCAGGCAAGGCTCTTAAAACTCTCCGAGCCGGCAGCTAGGGAAGCTCCCGGGATAGATACCCCAGTATCGCTCCTTTCGAGTGCCACCATGGTAGCTTATACTGGACACGAAGTACTACCTACTTCGGATCGGCATACGGAGTGTGTTACGGCCTTCCTGGGGGTTATAGCGAGAACCACATCGGAACAAAGCACACGGTTCCTAACAAATGGGCTTGCTTTCAGCCATGGGACGGCTCAGGGGAACGATTTAGGTGGTGTGGATAGCCAGCTGATCATCCCAGATCCATGGCTGGACGCATGTCTCGCCCGCTGAATTAGCTGCACCCGGGGTTGTCCGAAATCTGGAACAGGAATCCAAGAACCCGGAATAAGTTGCGCGAAGCCCGTCCAGCGGCTATACTGGAATCGGAATTAGGATGCTACCTCAGCGGCTGAGTCCTTTTCGCCGCAAGAAAAAGTAATGACATGATTCACATCAACACTCGGACGGCGGTAGTGATACTAGGGCCCAAAGTGAAACTGTGATATGTGATACTCGTTCTGAGCAGACTTGTACATCGGTTAGACTCTTGTCATTACGCCTGACCACCGTCTTTGGTTCACCGCGACATCGGCTACATTCACTTCAACACACTGGGATTTAGATGGTTCAAATTGAACCAAGTTTAAGTAAATTGTGTTCACATTGTCCTAAGCGAGGAAACAGCTACCAGAGCAATAGCTATAGTGCGTGTGACACGTCCTCCAGGCCTCATGCTGAAGTACTCAGGTTCAGCTCTGCCCTCATCCATTAAAGATTGTCTTAATGCAAACTCGCCAAACAAAATCCCTATTTTGTACACACGCCCTTTTTGGTTGGTATCATAACAATCATCCATCGAAAGTAAAAGCCCTTACAAGGAGCTTGGCGTCAAACACACGCCATTGTAGAAGAATTAGAGTCCAAGAGGCAGCAGCGAGGGGATACAGAGAGAGTAGATACCCCGACTGCTTGTTTCCTTTTCTTCGCGCCTCAATCTTGCGCCATGCCTAGAGCGCTAAACCATGCTGCCGACAGAATAATAAAGGAAAAGAAGATTATCAACATTATAAGAGAGAGTATGGGGGAAAAAACAAGTGAATGAAGGGAGCGTGATATGACGTGTCTTAAACAATATTAGAATTAAGCAGTTGATCTTGCGATGTCCGTGTTCTTGTAAAAGTGGTGGAATAACAGGAGCAATTAAAACGAACAAATGAAAAGGGCCATGGTCATGTCTCAGCAGCCAATGGAGAGAAGTAGAGCAATGGAAACGAACGAACAAAGGAAACAAGGGCTGGTGGCGGCCGTAAGTGTACGTGTAGATGTAAAGGCTGTGCAGATGTGAAAGGCTATCATCGTGTTGCGAAGCCCTGGCAGGGCTGTGACAAGTTCGCTTGCAGTGGAATAGGAGTATAGCCCCCGCCGGATTTAGTTGTGAACTTGAAGGGTCCTGTCATCGGGCCATCGTGGTGTAGCAATGCGGCGGTAGATCTGACCAGGGTTCTGCTCCTCGAGCTCCTTGCACAAGACCTCAATAGCGAGCACCCATCGAGACTGCAGACGTGACTGGCGACACTCAAAAACTTCATTGAACTGTGATTCTTCCTGGACGCACTGGGCTTCGAGCCTGTCCAGCGCTTCCTGTCTCTTATCGAGGAAAAGCGAGAGCTCCTCTGTCTGTTTTGCCCGAAGCTCCTCCATCTTAACGGACTGTCGCTCCCTCATGAGATTGATTTTAGACTCGCGCATGCGACCCATGCCATCTCGCAAGTAATACTGTTGACCCAGCTCTCTCAGGTCTCGCTCAGTGACGACTCTGACTGGCGCCGTCGAGTTTGGGTTCCGGCCGAGGCCGTTGCAATAAGCCTCCATGTGCTTGAGTCGGAGATGGATGTTCAGCTCATCTTGCTGCAGCGTTTCGAGCAGCCCCATCTCGGCGACAACGTGGCGATCTTCTTGAGCAGTCCAGGCTCTCTCATGTCTCTCGTGGAGCTTCTCCTCCTGGCAATCGTACTTTTCTTCTATGGCAGCCTCTTGCAACAGGTGGCGGGTCTGCAAGGCGTCTTTACCCTGGGACTTGTAATCCAAGAATCGACGCAGCTCTTCTTGTTGCTCTTGTCCAAGTTGCTGAATTGACGAGTTGGCTCGCAACCGCTGCTCATTTGCGCAGGACATGGCCACTTTGCTCTGTCGGCGCCGCTGTAACTCCTCTTCAAAGCTGCAAAGATTAGGGCATCCAGTCGTGGGATCCCAGATACCTACGCACACGGAGCAGAAGCGAGCTTTGCATCGGCAGGTCATGTATGGAGATTCTTCAGTCGGCTCAACTAAGGATCTGCACTCGTAGCATCGCTTCCAGTTCCCTTTATCTTGCTGCTTCTTCTTCAAGACGGCCAGTTCCCAATCTTGAGGGCAATCTTCGCCAATGGGGTGAGCAGTTCCTTTGCATATAACACACACGCGACCATTGCATTTGAAGCAGGTGAGATCGAATGGGTGCTTAGGGTCATGACCGTCATGTGGCGGAATAAAGTGGCCGCAGGCTGGATCTGGGCAAAAGATTCGTTCCTCGACAGGCGTGCCGAGCTTAAGAACTGCCAGCAAAAAGGTCTCCTGGGCATCCTGGTTAAGGATCGTCCTGACAAGGGGGGCCGCGAGGGGCTGAGAGCAACAACGGGGTGGCATTTGGGACTCGTTTTGAACGGCTTGGTTTACCAAGTCTCTCACGCAGTCGACGCAGTGCATATGGCCACAGTGGAGCTTATGCAACGCGCCTGACTCTGCTCCAAAAATCTTTCGACAGCTAATACATGGGCTATATCGAAGTATTGAAAACGGGGTGTCAGCTTATCGGTTCATCACACATGAAAAGCAAGTAGGAATAGCCTTGTACAAGGCAAAGTTTGTAGTGGATTTAAGGGAGACCTACATTTTGTTTTCCACAGGTTCGATAGTCTTTCTTTTCCAGCGTAGGCGGTCCTTGAGGCTTGCACGATGACCTTTTTTGGACCCAACGCTGGCCAAGCTCTGGGCAGAACCATCATTGGCAAGAAGTGGAACTCGAGGAGGTTGAATCTGAATGCTAACGGAGTCCAAAGAGGAAATATATCGCTCGTAATGGGAAAATGTAAGGCTGGTACTCGAGGTTCTCCTACCTCCAGACCCAGTATCGATTAGGGAACACGGAGATCCAAAGACGGAGGAATGCGGCGTCAATGCAGAGCTGGCTGACCCGTTGGAGGCATTGGAAAAGGTCCGATCTTGCTGAGTGCCGAATGATGAGACCGAACAGGTGCTGGTGGGATGTCGTTTGCTAGCCACAGACGGCAGAGTGGCGGCGATGCCTGCAGCGTTTGCTCTA